ACGTACCAACTCACGTTTCCTTCCTGTCAGGTATTCCCGATCCATTGCATATTTTTCCCCCTTTTTCCTCCCTGCTCCTTAATTTTTGCATCAGTCTTTTGTTGGTACGGGTTTCAAAAGCTTCTTGAAATCAAAAAGGATGCAATCTACCCATTCTCCTCTCTCCTTCTTGCTTCAGTTACCTTTTCTAGAACTCAAATAAATTTGCGACACAGGGTTTTTCCCCCTCGAAGCCGTGTTGACTGTCATTATGAGCCCAATCTTTTCAAAGGTTTCCCCTACTTTTCTCCGATAATCTTTTCCATGACTTTCAACAAAACAAGCAGTGACACGGCTGCAGTTTAATGCTGCCCCGTCGTCCCCTTTCTTAAAAAAATTTGGGAAATACATGGGTCTTTTCCCCGCCTCAGGGGAACTGCCCTTTTTCGATGATTATGAAGATTACTGCAATGGCCCCACACAGTTCCTTTTCTTTTCCCCCCTCAGTATCCATGAGATATGTTACGGGGCCCACCGCTTTGAGGTAACGAGTTCGCTACATTTTTTTTCACCTCTACCTGGTTATGTGATTGTGTCCAGGCCTGCGGTGCAAAACCCCACCTCCACATTTTGCGGGAAAAATTTCCCGACTCATTGGAAATACTTCCTAAATATTTTGTTTGTTCACACATATTCTTGTCACTCTTTGTCAGCTTCCCTCCCCTTTCCTCATCTATTACCCCGGGCCTTTTACTGTTTTTTTTTCCCTAAGTGACTGTAAACCTTTGGTTCAGATTTGGCTTTTTTATGCTATGTCGTTCTTTATTTCCTCTGGGGGCCCCCTCCTTATCCTTGCATGTTTGTTTCGTTCTTCTGCTCACTCCTTTTTTTCCTGACTCCTTTGCCTGCTAAAAACCCTTTTCCATGCTCTACAAAACTTGGCTTTGGCCTCTTTACACCTCCAATTTAAAAACCCTGGGGGCCCCTCTGGTCAAACCATTTTTTCTGTTGCTCTTTGGTATGAACCTTTCCTCTGCCCCCCTGCACTTAGGGTTAAATTTTCCCTCATTTTATTTACTGTCTTCCATTTTTCTCTTTCCCCTGCACTTCATGCAGGAAACTTTTCATTCCTATGTAGGTGTGTGTGTGTGTGTGTGTGTGGTGTGGTGTGTGTGTGTGTGTGTTGTGGGGTGGTTGTGTGGTGGGGTGTGTGTGTGTGTTTTGGGGTACTCTTTTTACTCACCCAGTTTAGGTTCAGGGGGCGATCCAAGCTCCTGGCCCCCCCTTCACTGGTCGCTACTATCCCCCTCCCGAACCGTGAGCTTTATCATACCTCGCTTAAAGCTATGTATGGACCTGCCTCCACTACATCGCTTTCCCAAACTATTCCCCTTCCCCGACTACTCCCCGTGGCTGAAGAAATACTTCCTAACATCCCTGTTATTCATCTGTGTCTTCAACTTATAACTGTGTCCCCTTGTTACTGTGTCCAATCTCTGGAACATCCTGTCTTTGTCCACCTTGTCAATTCCTCTCAGTATTTTGTATGTCATTATCATGCCCCCCCCCCTATCTCTCCTGTCCTCCAGTGTCGTCAGGTTGATTTCTCTTAACCTCTCCTCGTAGGACATACTTCTTAGCTCTGGGACTAGTCTTGTTGCAAACCTTAGCACTTTCTCTAGTTTCTTTACGTGCTTGGCTAGGTGTGGGTTCCAAACTGGTGCCGCATACTCCAATATGGGCCTAACGTACACGATGTACAGGGTCCTGAACGATTCCTTATTAAGATGTCAGAATGCTGTTCTGAGGTTCGCTAGGCGCCCATATGCTGCAGCAGTTATTTGGTTGATGTGCACTTCAGGAGATGTGCCTGGTGTTATACTCGCCCCAAGATCTTTTTCCTTGAGTGAGGTTTGTAGTCTCTGGCCCCCTAGACTATACTCTGTCTGCGGTCTTCTTTGCCCTTCCCCAATCTTCATGACTTTGCACTTGGTGGGATTGAACTCCAGGAGCCAATTGCTGGACCAGGTCTGCAGCCTGTCCAGATCCCTTTGTAGTTCTGCCTGGTCTTCGATCGAATGAATTCATCAACTTCACGTCATCTGCAAACAGGGACACCTCGGAGTTTATTCCTTCCGTCATGTCGTTCACAAATACCAGAAACAGCACTGGTCCTAGGACTGACCCCTGTGGGACCCCGCTGGTCACAGGTGCTCACTCTGACACCTCGCCACGTACCATGACTCGCTACTGTCTTCCTGACAAGTATTCCCTGATCCATTGTAGTGCCTTCCCTGTTATCCCTGCTTGAACCTACAGTTTTTGCACTAATCTCTTGTGTGGAACTGTGTCAAACGCCTTCTTGCAGTCCAAGAAAATGCAATCCACCCACCCCTGTCTTGTCTTACTGTCACCATGCCATAGAACTCCAGTAGGTTTGTGACAGGATTTCCCATCCCTGAAACCATGTTGGCTGCTTTTGATGAGATCATTCCTTTCTAGGTGTTTCACCACTCTTCTG